CATTTTGAAGCACCTTGCTGGGTGACACAGCAGGTCAAATACCGAGTGATCTTCACACAATTTCTCCCTCAGGAGTGCAGGTGCACAGTTGAGCCTTGCCAGCAGGAATAGCTTCTGGGCTGAAGCTGGATCTTGCCCAGAGGGCTGTTACCTTATTGAAATACCTCTGAACCTCTGAAAGGTGAAAGTTCAGCCCCAAAAGGAAGAGAGGGCCGCTGCTTGTTGAGTATATTTTTGCCAGACATAAAAATCAAGTGCTGCGAGGTCTTGTCCAGGGCAGAAGGCATGCATGAGCTGAAAGGCTGAATTCAGGTGACTCTTCTGCATGCTATCGCTTGTGCCACTGACTTCAGCAAGAGTCCCAGGGTGCCAGATTTTGTCTGTCTGTTAATCTCCCTGTGTCTGCTAGGTCTGGTATTGAAGAAAAACTTAGTCTGAAACTGTCTGGGAAGAGACCAGAGTGTGTGCATATTACTGTAGACATTTGGACCTGGTCAGAGGTCCCAGTTGAGGGCTACCTGTCTGTCACACTTCAAAGTGAGATGCTTTGGCGTCAGCTTGTGCAGCTCAAAAGAAGCAAATGCCATCAGGAAATCTTCAGATGCATGCGAGGACTTTCAGATCGTGCTCTGTGAAATACCATTATACGAGAGCTCTCTAGCAGTCAATACAGCACAAAATAATCCAGGAGCTGCCAAATGTTATAGCTAGCATTTCTCCCAATACAAATACCCTTCCTTTTCCCCCAGTTTAGAGCAAAACCATGAGTTACAAAGGATTTGATGATCAGTGAAATTAATGGCACAATACTATTGATTTCAGTATTTCTTCAAGCTATCACCCAAGGAATGAAATCACCTGCAGTTCTGTTTGACCATGCTGTAAGCCAGGTCTCTTGGAGTGTGTTTTGGGTACATGACTGCTGCGCTTTGCAGTGCAGTGAGTCTGCAATCAGTCGGAGAGTAAGGTGATTCCTAGAAGCACCTGATATAATCCACACTGCTGCAAGGTGTGAACTTACACTGGGTCCCTGTCCTGTCCCTTCTCCCAGGATATAGCACTCAGAGTTAGGGTGAGGTGTTGAGGAAGGGACTTAGGCTAGGCTTTTATAAACACACTTTAAAAAAAAAATAATCCTCCTTTAGTTAAGTTGTCCATGTTCACTTCGTCTCTGTACCCCTTCTTCCTCCCTCCCTTCTGTACACCCACCCTGCAGACCCAGGGAAAAGCCCATCAGGCTGAGTTGTCATTGCATTAACACTCGGGTCAGTGGCATACTTGTGTGCTCTCTATCTTCATCTTCTGCTCTTATGTTGACTTAGGGAGAGTTTTCACTTAGAAAGATGAATTAAAGGCTGGTTGATACCCCAGCAAAGCAGAATAGACCACTTTGAGTACTGCGAAGGCAGTAGATAGGAGAATAAATAATGGCTTGTTTAACCTGCGTTGTCTTCTTCATAACACTGTATGCTTAGAGGGAGTACAGTAATAAAAAGCAAATGTAGATGAAGGCATATTCAAATGAAAACAAATTTTTCTGTTCAGAAGGATGAACTTTGGGATTTCAAGCATGAGTTGTTTCTTGCTTAATGTCTATTGGAATATATAACCCTGCATTTGAGAATACAAAGAAGTACTTTACTGCGGTAAGTAACTGGCATTTGAGAGAAATTTATGATAAGAAGGAAGAAATTATTGCTATTCTCAGCTCCAAAACAATGATGCCATTATTTTCATGCTTTTTTTTTTTTTTTTTTTTTTTTTTTTTTCCTTATTTAGTTGTTCTAAAGGGAAATGCAGGAGTTACGGGTTACATGTAATGAGGTCAAGTCACCCAGCCACCATAGTTCTGGACACCTTGAGTTTTGCACAACTCCCTAATGGTCCACTGAAGTGGCTGTAGCGAAAGTGGCTGCCCTCCCTCGGGAGAAGTGAGATTGCTACACTGGGCCACAGGACGGAGGAAGAACTGCTGTGTAACTTTTGGTGAAACTTTTCTTGACTGGGAGATCTAAAGAAGGAAGATTCTTGGTTGCAAGGCATGTCTGTGGCTTCCATCATACTCTTGTGTGCTGGGTAGGTCTTGCTGGAATGACCAGTTGCTTCTGGTGTGAAGCCATAGACTGGAGGGAGACCACAGGTATCTGAGATATTGGCAGGAGTAAATCTCAGTCCCCATGGCTGGGTTCAGAGGGGATGGCAGTCCCACAGCTTCAATGTGGATGTGACACGTAAGCAGCAGTGCAAGGCTGGAAGCGTTTGGGTGGGTAGGGGTGAGCTGGAAATTGGATTGTGGAGACTGGAAAGTACAGGATGGCTCTAGTAATACAGAAATTAGAGGACATGGGTGGTGGATACTCTGTGCCAGGGATGCAGACACTGCAGGGGCTCGTGTAGGGAGATTGGCCAGTAGTTGCAGTTTGCAGCCCTAATGCGGATAAAACAGGGCAACCTGGGGGGTAAAGTGTGGTCTTAGGGGTGCTGGGAGTGGTGAGGGTTAAGTTGTACAAGGTCTGAGTCGTAGTAAAAGAAACAGCTATCAGCAACGTCTCTCCTTTACTGCAGGCAGACAAAGCAGATGTTTTAATCTTCTCACGTTCCCAGCAGTGTTATGAACATCTGCTCCCATCTGGCCTGGAGGTGCATGACTTGGTCTGTCATTAGTGAAACTGTTTGGGTTGGTTGGGTGTTTTTTCTTTCCCAGCCCTGCGCAGTAGTTAGCCGCCTCCCGCATGGTCAAGTGCCCTTGGCCTCCCTCGCTGGGATGTGGGGTGTCTCCCTGCCCGGGGCTGAGGCAGCGTGTGCTACCCATCACCAGGGGCTGGGGGGGCATGGCCAGCAGCCAGCCGGGGGGTACTTCTGACCCTCCTGACTGCTGGAAGGCTCCCGAGCCAGCAAGGAGAGGCAGTGTGCTGTTCCCTGACGAGTACAAACCTTTCATGGTCTCACTAAGCCCTGTCACAGCATCCTCAGGATTCATCACGCTAGAGACAAGGACTGGAATATCCAGCAGTAGGAGCGTGACATGCCTGATTTTAAGAAATTAGCTTTCCATTAGGACAAATCCTAGATAGATAATTACCAAAATGTATGGCTGTGTTCTGCTTCTGCTAACTTTTGTACTCGTAGGTACAAAACTTCATTAGCACATTCACTTGCAGAAAATGTAAATGTGCTCAGTATAAATGTCAAGGTAGTTGCTGTCCTGAATGAAAAAGTCTAGCTTTTTTTTTTTTTCCTCTTGCATTCAAGTTCTTTCTTGGCATATGAGAAAAATATCTGAGAGTTTAACTTGGCATCTGGCAATTTGTGCTTGACCTGTCATGTTCTGGGCACGATGGGAATAGGTTATGACAGATTTGTCATATATAACAGTGAGTTTGTCGGTGTCTTGTTAGTACTGGGGGATGTGCTTCCATCCCAGGATTTCCTGGAAGAGTGAAAAAATGCTCATGCAAAATTAAGCACAATTAGGAAGTCTCAGTTTTGACACTTCTCAAAATCTTGAACCTGGAGGCTATAAAAACCTGAGTTCTAAATTTGACAGCTATGCAGAAGGTTTGGAGTGTTCCCTGTGGGATGTTCCTTCCATTATTTCCTTCTGCTACTGCCCATAAAATGAGTTTCCAGACATTGTATCTATTATTTAATTTTATTTTGGGGAGACGTTGCCTACGCACTGTTCTTTGTTCCTTGAATTCACAGCAAGATTACTTTTTCAGGGGTCTTGCTTGAAAACTGTGGGTTTTTTGGCTGTGTGTTCTCCCATGTTGGAAGAGAATGGCAATAAATTGGCTCCAAGAAGAAAGTGATTTAGGATGAAAGGCCAGAGATGCAGCAGGTGTGCTGCTGAACCCAAGACACTAGAGGAGCAGTTTCTGTTGCTGGACCCTACAACACTGATACTTTTATACACTTTATACTTCCTGAGTCTTGTCTATAAGACAGTTGCTGCATTTGTTTGTTTAGAGTTGACACAGTTTGATATGAGACTATTCCACAGAACTAATGACACCAAAGTAGTGAAGTTGTTAGGTTGTACAGCTTTGGGAACATTTCTGTTAAATTCCCCGTCTTTCTCTCTCCCTTCAAGCCCTACCATGTGTTTAAAAAAAAAAAAAATGTTTTCTGATAATGAATGTTTAAACATAACTTCTTGATTTCCTGCCTGGGTGTTAGCTTTTATATTAAAAGGAATTTAAATAACGAAAAGTTCCTCCTCAGTCAAATTTAGGAGTGTTACTTATCATTGTGAGGGTGAAAAGTGGATGTTAGAAATACGAAGCAACTGTAGTCTGTATTTACTAAATTGGTATACAAGGTAACAGATACATATTTATTTTTTTGGTGTGAAAGCTGTTTTTCCAGTCAGTTTCTGGCAACCGAGCAACAGAAATCTGTGTTTACAAGTCTGTGAAGCTTTAAAAACTAAAACTGTGGGGTGGTTTTTTTTGGTTTTTTTTTGTTTAAGTGGACCATTCTAACAAATCCTCAACTTTCCAACAAAAAATAATTTAGGGAGCAGCTTTTCACCAGTCTTAGAGTTTTGTACTCCGTGATGAAAGCTCTACTGAAACTGGACTTGCCCCTCCAAATGGGTGAATTCTTTAGCTTTTTATCTTCACCTCTCTGCTTCTGCTACATCAGGTTGATCTTTCTTATGTCCTTCATGTAAATATTTATCAAAATGGAGTGAGTTTTGATTCTACCTGCCTCTTGGCTAAAATCCTATTCAGATGGTGTTGCACTGAAGCTCACCTGCAGACGAGAGAGAACTGAAGGACGTGGCTGCTTCATCATCCAAGGTCTTCAAGTTGATTGTCTAAGGTGATTCATGTCAAGGCTCCATTTCTTTAAGAGCAGTTAAAGGCATGTTCATGTTCTCTCCACTTTTCTCTGTCTTTTGCAAGATGATATAATTCCTTTATCTCCATCTCAGCCAATAATGGATATATAGTTTTTCAAGCTCATAATTAAAACTGAAAATTGTGCTTTTTCAGGTCACAGAGCTCAATAATGTGAAGAATATATTACGAATGCCAAAAAGCACAAAGAAGCATGCAGTTGGGATTTATTTTAACGATGACACATCGAAAACCTTTGCTTGTGAGTCAGGTGGGTAAAATGGCAATGCACAGTAGAAAACATAAGAGTATTAATTGTGAAATTATAAATGTATTATACCTACATACAGACTTTCTGGGCATTTATACAGAACTTGAGGCCGATGAGTGGTGCAAGGTGCTGCAGATGGAGTGTCTTGGAACACGAATTAATGACATTAGCCTTGGAGAGCCTGACTTGTTGGCATCTGGAGTAGAGAGGGAGCAGAGTGGTAGGTACATAAATATTGACCTTTTAAATCTCAGATTGCAGTAATTTGAAATCTTTTCGACTGTGCATTTAAACACCAGAATTAAGTTGGAGCAAAATTGTTTTTCCAAGCCCTGGTTTGTGGGGATTGTTTTTGTTTGTTTGGGATTTTTTTGGCTTTTGGGTTTTTTAATTGCTACCAAAGATAGTAGGTCAGGTAACTGGAATTATTTTGGAGTAGCACTTTTCTTTCTCAGACAGGTTAGTTGGTCCTGGAGATGGGGACTATCTTTTGTTGTATCTTTCCTTGTATGATGTGGGTAGGAGAGTTTCAGTCTGTGACTGAGGCTGTTTGGCATCACTGTAAAACAAATAATAAATAATAGTAATTGCATGCAGAACCTGAGCCCATGGCTACTTCACTTTCCTATGCAAATTAACTAATTACATGCACAAATGCAATTGCAATGTATTTATTCATGAACACAACTTTATTAATTGTTTGCAAATATCAGGATTATGATGGTGCAGTTCTCTTCAGTGTGTGAATGCACACACAAATATTCGATGCCCTTTGAGTGCAGCATTCTGACTGCCCCAAGCGTAGAGTCTATTGAGTTACTAGAAGGAATTGAGTCTCTGGTTTTGAATTAATTGTCCTAAGTGGAAATAAGATCTTAAATTAGAGATGGGAAATAGGAAATTCCTTTTATGACTTGCACATTTAACGGGCAGGGATTTTAGACTAACCTTTTGTTTTTCTCCCAGAGAGATTCAATGTGTATTTGATGCCATCCCCTAATTTAGATGTGCATGGGGAATGTACCTTGCAGATAACATTTGAGAATATCTGTCTTTGGGACATCCAGAATCCCAGAGTAAAACTCATCTCTTGGCCATTAAGTGCCCTCCGACGCTACGGGCGAGACCCATCTTGGTTCACATTTGAAGCGGGGAGGTAGGTGTGTGTTTGCTGTATTGTGTTGCTTTCCTTGGTGGGGCTGGCTGGTGCTCTAGGCTTCAGCGGTTGTTGAAGGACACGAGAGCTTATCTGCAGAGGGTCTGTACCCTCTGGTAAAAGAAAATATTTTTTTAAACATTGAAACAAAAATAAAACCAAATAAAACCCCCTCCCAATCCCAGGTTGCAGCTTGAATGGAAGCAGTTACCAAATAAAAGTGCCTGAGGATGGGTGTGGGAGTCCTGAAGTATCCCAGGGTGTTGCAGGGTGGAGGCTGACAGCATTGTATATTACTGTATAGGGTTGTTCTTAAATAAAGGTGTATATGAGCCAGAGAATTGCATGGGCAGATCTGGGGAGAAAGGGTGAACATCATTCCAGAATCTGTACGATGTGGGCCTTTGGGGTTCTCTACTAGGAGAAGTGAATGTTGAAGTTGAGAGCAGCGAGTGCCAAGTTGTTTCCTCAAAAGCAAACTAAAGTAATGGAGAAGGGACTCCTGTTTTCCATTGATTATATTCCTGGTTTCCATCTTTCTGACAAATGGATTTATAAGAAATTTGAATGCAATTCCTTACTTTAGAGATGTTGTTCTGTATTGCTTCCTGCAGCTGAGTCTTAATGAGCTGAGTCTTTGGCTGAAGTTGGAACACTTATTTACTGAACTAAACTATCAAATCCTTTCTAAGGGATATGGATGCATTATTTTAAATAAGCACATTAAAGAATTATGATAGTAAAAGAGAAACAGATCACACAATTACCTTATCTGGAAAGGAAAGAGGCATTTAAATGTCCATTATCCATATTACTGCAGAATTTGGTCCTTTGGGGGTGGGGAAGGATACATTTTTATTTAGCTGATCATGCCTAAGCCATGACAGGACAGTGCAGTTGGGATGCTGAGGATATGTATTTATTGTTTCAAGTGAAAGACAGAACTCTGCAAAACAGGCAGCGTGAAAAGCCTGAAAGGGGAAGACAAATTAATCCTACCTGGCACAGATTCTAGATAGGGTCTAAAAATTTAAAATCTGTTTCTTGTGCATGAACTCTCTAGAGCTTAAGCATTTGTGATAGATCAGTGGTACTTAGCTGAGTCCCTGTTTGGCGAGAGCAATGCAAACATGGGCTAAAATAGGAAGATTGGACCAGGCTTGCTAAGACCCATATGCAAAGACTTTTACATAGCTTCATTACAACCTTTTTTTTTTTTTTTCTTGATGCTTGTGCAATAGCACTTCTAGAGCTGCATGGTAAAATTTTGCTTGTTCATGGTGACCTGTAAACTTAAATCTCACATGTGGATTTCATCTGTTCTTGCTTTGGCAGGATGTGTGACACAGGAGAAGGACTATTCATCTTTCAGACCAGAGATGGGGAAGCAATCTATCAGAAGGTTCACTCGGCTGCTTTGGCCATAGCAGAACAACATGAGCGTTTGTTGCAGAGTGTGAAAAATTCAATGGTACGGCTGCTTGTTATGCTTGTTATTTCACCCTGGGCACCAGTGAACAATGTTTCTTCAATGTGATTTTAAGTTCTGATTCACAGATAGTAAGCAGTCTGATTATTGATCTTATTAAGTTCTGCTTGATTATAATATTTAGGGTAATACATATGACTGGGGATACTTTTCAAGAATTGAAACAACAGGGAAACTTACAGCCCTTGATTTTTGCATTTGCAAAGCTATCAATAAATGTGAATTAATACAAAGATGACAACCTCCTGTCCGTGCACATTCATATTAGGTCCCTTTGATTAATCAGCATCATGAGTTTGTCTAGAAGCATTTCTCTTCAATCTATTTGCAAAGTGTTGTGGCTCATGCTCAGTTTTTCATTTGCCAATTGATGTCTACACTCCAAGGGTGATTCGGAAAAAGTCATATGGTTCAGATTAGACTATGGGGGAGGACGAGTTGTGTGTCTGATCTCTCAGTGGATGTCTGCTTTCCACAAGTGCTTTTTGTATCTCAAACTTGTTTTATGACACACACGACTGGTAGGTAACTAACATACAGATTGGGAAAAGGTAGCGTGGGGTCTTCAAAAGCATCATGTCTGAGGAAGACAGTTTTATGTCACTTGCATCTAATGTGTTTCAGGATCTTATTAACTTCTAATTTTTTTTTTTGGTCATGAAGCATGTAGAGTGAAAAGGAATGTTCTGTTTATCCCATATCACAGTTGGTCTCTACGCTCCAGGACTCACAGGGTGACCCTGGCTGCAAAATTAGTACCTTTCTGGAATATATAAAATATCTAGAGTGGACAACTGTGGAAGAACTTGGCTATAAACAACATCTCTATTCCAGGCAGAAGTAATTGGTTTATGTAATCTGCAACAAGATTTACGTCTTTCTCTTACTGTAAACATAAGTGCTGCTGTTATCCACATCCATGTCTAATCCTTTCAGTAATACTGCTAACATCTTGCTTTCAGGGATAAGTTGTAGTGATGAATTATTCCAGTACTAACTGGATGACCCAGCTGGGATGAAACAGAAAATGCCATTGCTACTTTTGGAAGGTTAAGAAAAGATGAGAGTGGATGTTGAGGGAATGGAGAAAGGAACAGATTGCTTTAAGTACTTGTATTTCTTTTTGTTCTTCCACTTTCTTGGACTTGAGACAGAATGCAAACCAAATGCATGATAGGAAAGTTATTTCTCTTAGTAACATGCCAATGAGGAGAGGAGGAGCAATAGGAAACTTCCCAGTGTTGTGGACTGGATAACTGATTGCTTCACTGAGCACACAGGCACATGGGTAATTCTGTCATCTGTAGAGCAAGGGACATAACTGAAATGGGAAGGTGAGGAAAACTCAGGTCTGTTTTTGTGGGTCACAACTTCTGGCTGGTGCATTACAGTGTGGTCACTTCTGTAAAGCCCGTGGGAGAGGGCTGTGTCTGTGAGGCTGAAGTACTGACTCAGCCTTTCTAGTGACAGCCTTTTCCCCGGGTCCATTTAGAACATGCTTTTCTCAGCACTTCCACGTTCACTAGGATGAGCTTGACACTTTACTTGCTTTCAAAAACTTTAGAACTAGCAGGTGAACTCTACAGCCAGCAGCACTGTTATTTTTCCCTTTCCCAGCAAAGGGAGTCATCTAACACCATCTTTGCTGGTTTTGACTTTTGTTTAAAACCAAGAGCCTTTTAGTTAATGAAGGGAGTTCTTGTTCAAAGATATCCAAAATTATCTAAGTTGAGACAGATGGGTAGATGATACAAGTACTCAACAGTAACTAAATTAAGCAGATTAAAATTAACCTAGGCTAACTCAGCATAACTAGCTAACATTTGTAGCCCACCAGGATCAAAAGTGATTGAGTAACTCGTGTACTGTAACCACAGTGAATAGGCTTACAGGCAATTTCGTATTTGTTGGTTTTACATTTATGGAAGAACATCTTTAATAGATGATGTCTGATGCTGTACTGTAAAATTTCCGTCTTACAAGTGCCATTAGACTCAACAGATGCACAGTTGCTATAGATTTCAATAGAGAGCAGCTGCACAACCTCTAAAAGCTTTTTCATGAACACTGTGTCCAACCACAACCCCTAAATCTAATTTTATAGACCCTAGAGTGCTAAGTGGGGGATAAGAACATATTCCTGGTGAACTGAAAGTCCTGTAATTTAGTAGCAGAATATAATTATTTCAGATGATTCCATATGCCTCTGAATATGAGTTTCCCAAGTCTGTCATAGAAACATTGTCTGGTTCTGAAATACACGGTGAGACTCTGGGGTTCAAGGATAGTCCAGTTTAGAAGTTTAGGCAGAGGGTTGTTATATCAGCGTAGAACTTTGGTGGCTTATTTTGCTGATTACAAAATATTTGTAAAGAACATATTTGTTCAGATTGATTGATTTACCCTGTATTTTTCTTCTGCTTTTGAACGCCTCAACAAGGAGTTCACTTTAGATGCTTGCACTTCATGCTTGGCTGTCTGTGTTGTTTCTATCTCTTAAGAATTATTTATCCTGTGTGAGTTTCGTATTAATGAAGCTTGAGCTATTATTTACAGAAGGGGTATTGAAAAGAAGGAAGTAGGAGATATGGTTGGTGAGAAATGAAGTCCCGACCACTGCTACATCAGTGATGTGATTATTCAAGAATGATGTGAAGATGGTATTAAGCTACCTGAGGGCTACTGGAGTCTGTGCCAAAAAAAAAAAAAAGGGAGTTGAATGTCCCATGCTGATAGAGCGAAATAAAGCTGCCAAGTACTGTTGAGAATGTGGGCTATAATGTGTCTGCCACCTCCCTAGCAGTCGCTCTCTTTATATTACAGTATGTTGGTTCAGTTCGTGACTATAACTGGCTCTGGCTCCTGAAATGCGTGTGGAAAATTGATGTGATAGTGGTTCCTCAGCTGGGAACTTCACCCTGACACTTTCTGTTAATGTGCAGTTGCTTTCTACTGAGGTCTGAGCATGTGTTGACCAGAGTCTGTGACACTTTCACAAGTGGGTTTCATTTATTTTCCTTTTCAGTGAATTCAAAGATCTCTTCCTTCTCCCTTTTGAAGGGAAGAAAGAGCTGGCTTTGCTTAGTGATGCATGAAGCCTTTCTGGTCATTTGGTAACTCTCCTCATCCAGCTGTCTCTTTCCTTTCGCTTTTGCATTGTCAGACAATAGAAATAAAATATCTATTCAAGTTATATTTTCATGAGTATTTGGTTGCCATGAAAACTGACAGGAGCAGTGCTGTGACTTGACTACTGTCATTTATGCCTGGTCTCAGTTCACACCGTTTTAAAAAAGACATTACAACTTGACATCTCACTAAGAAGTAATAACAGTGAACTTCCCACTTTTGGCAGCTAAAGCTCAGTACTTCATACAAAGATATTATCAGCCAGTTTACCGGCAGCCTTCCCTGACTCTTCAGGTGTGCACTGGCCGCTTGATCCATCTGATGTGCCTCCGTCCAGGCTGGAGCTTGCTATGAAGTCTGTGCGTTTCCATGGAGATTCATAATTAAGAGTGGAAATGGTTCTCACTAACTTCTGAAATAAGAGAATCTTGAGTATTAGTGTGAGATGGATAGTAGTCAAAATGGCAGGAATAAGTTAGTGCACTTTAATTTCTGAAGTTGTTTCTATTAGTTTACCATTCTGTAGTTTTGCTGTAATTAATTTAGCAAATGTTTCTTAAACAATTACCCTTTTGATTGATTTTGATTGATTACATGGATTTGCTTCACTGGGAAGAAAATCCCCTCAAAAGCACAGTGTATGCAATCTTTTCCAGCTGGGGAATCTCAAGAAGTTTTACCTTGTGAAAGTTGTTCTGCAAAATCTTTGAAAATTGGATTGTCTAGCCTGAGGAAACCAACCAAACCTAACAAATCTTAAATCATCTTCCTTTTTGAGCCATGTTCAGAGCTAATTTGAGAAGAATGTTGGAGTGTGTGTGTGGCTTCTATGTTTTTCTGGGGGTGTGTGTGGAATGTTTTTTTTACTGCTTGCTTCTTTGTTAGGTTTGGTTTTGTGGGTTGTTGGTTTTTTTTTATTTTTTTTTTTTTTTAGCACTACTTTTAAATTTCTTTAATTTATAATGCAATTTGACCAACTTGTTGAGGTGGGGTCCAAGAAAGAAAATACTTCATCTTTCTTCCCTGAGCCCTCAGGACTTCTGGGAACCAGCTGCACCCAGTGTTTGACTCGGAGCTGTGCGTTAGCTCAGCAAACTGCCTTCATCTAGCTCTGCACATCTCTCATCGGGGTGACAAGGAGTGACAAGAGGTGGCACAGTGGCTCCCCAGCTGCTCTCTGCACTGGCTGTCCATGGCTGCGAGCGCTGCTTCTCTGTCCCCTTCCCCTGTGGATGTCTCATAGCCACCGAGGCTGCAGGGTGGCTTTGTGTTGTCCCTCGCCACTTCTCACATCTTTGTTGCTTCTTTGGTTGAAGCCTGACTTAACAGAATTTGATGCCTGCCACGTGTGCAGGGAGCTGTGTTTGAAGTGCTCTGGGGATCCTGATCTCCTTTCAGGTTTGAGCATTCTTTTTCTCCCCTGGGCAGAAGAGGGTGAGAGGCTATGGATTAGGTGCCCTCCAGTTAACAAATTATTTGTTGTATTAATGATATGTGGAGTCGCACGTCCCGCCTGGCGCTCTGCTCGCAGCCTTTGCTCATGCGTGTTCCAGCATATCAATTCTGACTGTTTTCAACTTGCTTATGGTGCCGGCTGCTCCTGCGGCATAAAGCCAGGTCATTATCGAATTATTCCTACTCTTTCTGTTGCCACAGAGATATACAGTAGGTTAATTGTGAGAATGAAATCAATCATTGTTAAAGCTGCCTTTGCTCGCAGTCCAAGATATTTTGATGAAACACTGTGTATTCAGGACATAACATGCTAATTCTTCTCTCCAGCTGTGGGTTTTTTAATTTTTTCCCCTGCTGATTGAGTTCAGGAGGGGCCCCTTTTGGTCCTTTTCTGTGTCTTTAGCTAATCTTTCTCTAGCTGTGTCTATTTTTTTTCTCCCAAGATAGCCTGTTGGTTTTTTGCACTCCTCCTGACAAATGAACTGTTGCTCAAACTGCTTTAGCTTGCTGCCCAACTCACCAATAAATGGGACCAGCAAAAAAGGTATCTACAGCCCAGAAATGCCATCCTCACAGTGCTCTGCTGATTTTTATTCCCAGTAAAAGATTCATTGTTGTTTGTTTCTTTGGTGATGAGGCTGTGTGTGGTGACACTACAAAAGGTGTTGGGGCTTTAGTGAAGGAGCTGTAATAAATATGCTGTATGATGTAGGTGAAACCTTGTATGGTGCAGTGATTCACATCCAGCTGACGTGGAGGTGGGTGTTTTAAGAGCAGGAGTTGATCTGGGTTTGGTTTTGTTTTGTTTTACCTTCCTATCACAGCCACAGTGTCCACTGTACTGAGAAGAGCTTGAAGGTAGATGGCACCTCTAAATAACTTGGAAATGGGTCTCTTCAGATACATCCAGCCTTCACCTCCTTTCTGTGCTTGCTTCCTTTGTTTGTTTTTGCTCAAAAATACACTGATCTTCTTGCAAAAGGTTCTTTCACCTCAGGTTTTGTGAAACGAAAACTTACTCATTTGTAAAAAGCTAACTTTATACATTAGAAAAGCCAAGTGCAGTCTTGGTGTGTTTGAACTGGTGTTTTCCTGGACTTTGGGAGGATAGTTTTAGCTGTACTGTGAAGCTTTTGATAAATCTAAATATTTTATTCAGTTTGCACATACAATTTACTGAATTCATGGGAAAAAAAAAGCCTTAAAGTAGTCAGTTCTCACGTTTTTTTGTGTTAAATATAGTGTAAATAAGAAGGGGCTGTGATTATGTGAGAAAATGTAGCTGAAGGCCCTGTATGGAGGGGGAAGCATGAGATGGTGCTTCCAGTAATGCACTGCAGCCCACGTGTGCTCCTCTCAGCATACCTGGACTGCTGTTCATTCAAGGAATCCACCTGAAGGATGCAGTTCTGTCCTGTTGAACTCCTGTGCTATCCAGCTGGCGTGTGCCTCAGCTGTAGGAGAGGGGAGATGAATAGAAAATGCTACAAAACTAACAAAACCAGCTTGTCCTCACCCCTGTGAAATGTCTCCAGTCGGGTTCTCGATATGCTGAGGTTGTATTGAGCTTTGGGGTGTTACTTGCATAGCTGGGAAGACCCTCTGATGGCTTTGCTGCTAAAGAGGGGGGGCATACCAGCCCTCTCCTGTCTTCTGCTGATCCCCCATTTCTGTTTCAGCTGCTTGAGTTAAAACTCCCCTCAGGGGAAGCAGTGCTAGCCCAGGACCAGGGGAGCACCAAGGTGAGCTTTGGTGTGCAACAGCAGCGTGGCCTCCTAACCTGAGTGGTGTGTGCCCGCGGAGACTAACCTCTGAGTTAGTCATTGCTGCTTGGGCAGGGCGGGCTTGTGGAGGGAGGGAGAGGCTGTGCTGGCTCTTTCATTAGAAGGTCTTGCAGCCAGTGGTCAGGCTGTTCTCAAACTGTCTCCTTCACATCCGTTTTCTGCTTTGCAGCTTCAGATGAAAATGAGCGAGCGAGCCGTGTCCCTCAGCACCATGGTGCCCTTGCCCCGCAGTGCCTACTGGCAGCACATCACACGACAGCACAGCACTGGCCAGCTCTACGGTCTGCAAGGTGAGGGGCTGGGGTGGAAAGAGTCAATGCACAAATCCGATCACGACATCGCTGAATCATTTCACTGTCTGTCCATCTCACTGAAAGCTGATGTTCAGTCTAAGCCAATTGCCACTGCTGCCTGGCTGATGCAGAGAAGGGCACATCCTGCCTTAAGATGGACAACTTGGCAGAGGGGTTGTCGTCAGGAGGTGCTCTTCTTACTTCTTTTCTTACTTCCCTTCTTACTTAGAGAGGGATCTTTCATTTGACAAGTTATCTGAATGTTTTTACAGGATGGCCGGTTACCAAGGTTGCCCAGTTTTATTTTTTTTTTTTCTGCTGACAGAATGGCACCTGATTTTTTGCCAGACTTACAACCATTTGGCTCCCCTCTCATTCCGATGGCTGCCTCATAGTAAGAATGATGCAGCCTTCATTATTTATTTTGTGTACTTGCAAACATTCAACCAAGACAACTGCATCCTCGACAACGGCCGAATTGGGGAAAGTAAAAGAAAATGGCCTTGATAAGTAGTTCTAGAAAACTGTTGCTTGAACAGTGGGAATGCTGCTGCCACCGTGCATTGCAGCATAGCCTGAAGATGGGCAGATGTCTTCTCCAAATCCCTCCCTTGCTGTCAGCCCAAGGGGCAGCACAGGTCAATCCCCTCATGCCTGAAAACCTCCCCAGGCTGCGGGGAGGGAGGAATCGCTCCCGGGGAGGTCTCTGCCCCCGGTTGTCCCTCCGTGGTCACCAGGGGACATCTAGTGGTTAGTGAGCGCTGGAGGGGGTGCAGGGGGCTGTGGAAGGGTGGCTAACGGAGCCTTCACAGCAGCGCTGGCGTGAGCCTCTGCCTGCGTATTTCAGAGTGTGTTTCAAAACGGACCTTCAGTCTCCCGAGGTAGTGAGAACTGAGGTTTCTACCAGGCACTGTTGTTGCTTTGTGCTGGTTTCCCCAGAGGCACCTCTGGAGTAGGGGCTGCACGTGCTTTACTACCTCAAGTCAGCATCTTGTAGACATGTGTATTTTTAGAATTAAAAAAAAATAAATTCCAAACAACCAACACACCATTTGTATTTCAGAACACACTCTTCCACTCTAAGCTACATGGATTGTCTGAGTTAGTGTTTGTACAGAAGCTGGTGTTGATGAGTTGGCAAGTCAGGATCAGGGCAGAAAAGCCAGCAGAAAATAGGCTAAACGCTTAATAGAAGTGCAGAAGCCTGGAGTGTTAAATGGAAAACCCCAAAACTTTATTTTTCCAATGTATGAAATAAAGGTTTGAGCCTGATTAAACATTTGGATGATGAAGATGGACTGAAGCAGTTTCCCTTTGCCATAGGGGTATTAGAAAGTGAAGCTCAGCTTGACCATCAGTAGTACACTGGCTGTGTCTCTGTCATCGCTGAAGCTCAGGGTTGGTGTGTGCTGCACCAAGGAGCAGCCCTGCTCTTGGTGCCTCCTCCTGCAAAAAAAACCCCACAGGTGAACCTGTGTTTAGCAGAAAATCTCAGGAGCTATCAGGGATTTCTAGTATTAACAAGGATGTTCCATTTACCAACTTCAAGCATTCAAAAATAACTCGACAGATATTTTAAAACATCCTGGATTGGAAAACTTTTAGAACATCTTTTGTTTTGTTTTGTTTGTTTTTTTCCTCCTCTCTGATACTAGGAGTTTCTCAAGGAATAATGAATGATAGATATTTATTTTACTTCTTTAAATAAATCCAGAGATTGTAAAGGTTAGCACCTCCAGAAAATGAAATATCACAACGTGTAATTAAAAATTACATTTGCTGGCAGCCCTGACATACTTCTATTCTGGTCCTCTGATTTTCAGAGAATCATAAAAGCTATTTTTCCCTTTTCCTTTTTTCAACACTAGAGGGGGCAGGCAGCACATAAAAAGCCCCAGCTAAACCCAGCAAATGTTCCGGAGGAGGGATGAGTAATAAAAGCAGTGCTTACATGCCTGTTCAAATTTGTTAAATAAATTAGGGCATGGGAAGATGACCTGCTGGTGGCAGCCTGTGGCACACAAGAACAAGACTGCTTGCAGCACTCTGACACAATCAGTGGATTGGTCTTACTGTGCCTTACTATAGTGTCCTTTATTAAAACAATAATTCACCATTGAGCTGACACAAGATAAATAGACTGTAGGGATACAAACCACTTCTTTTATATTTAGAAAAATAGCTTGCCTGTTAAACTGGAAAAAAAAAGGATCCTAGGAGATTGTCATCATGAGAATGGGGTAAAAGTCTTTGTAAAACAAGTAAGCCGTGCAGCCAGCATTGTAATTGGGAAAGACACTGAAGTCCTTGTCTTGTTCAGCAGTCAGGCTACTACTTCTGTGGTACCCCGAGCACCTCTAATTAGATTAGGTTGCCAAAATCTTGAAATGCTTCAATTATTGCTGGAAAAAGAAATATGAAATAATGGTTATACCGAGTTGTGTAATTCCATAAGTATGAAGCAGCACTTCTCTCACTCACTGGTAGAGGCACCTGAAACTTTGTTATGCAAAAAACTTTCTTCCACCAAAGTTGGAATTTATGATTTCTGAATTGGCTCTTGTTCTCTTTTCTAGTGTACAGAAAAGAACTGGTGCTAATATTGTGAGCTAAAGTGCATTTTTCATTTAAAATGCAAAATCAGAACTTTAAAAAAATTAATTTGCTTCATACAACTTTCTGTTCTTAAGGAAATGGAAAAGAAAATCTGAGTGGAGGTGTTTCTGGGATGGAGCAGCAGATTAAGCAGTGATAGGTTCAATTAAAAAAGCTGTGATCTGTAGTTCATATAGTCCTTTATAAAATGCTGAATAAGGTGCCTGTGTCTTACTGAGTGTTTTGGTTTTTTGCATCTGTCTTGGCGAAGGTGCTTCTAGCCCAGTGAAGCTTCATCGCACGGACACTTTTCCAACCTACAGGTCAGACCATCGATAAAAGACTGTAAAGAACTTTACAAACTCTTTGTCTTCTGACAAACTGCCCCAGTGGATGACAGTGATGATGATAAGCAAGGATGGAAACACGGAAAATTTCAGGTTGGATGAAAAATTCTTGCAATACAAAGGTTTTTTTAAACTTTGCCAAAAGCTAAAACTATTCTGTAGATATTGGGGAAGGGAAGAAAACAACAAACCCTCCAGTGTATCTTTTATATCTTACAGCTGAACAGAGAAGAAATCACTCCTTAAATATTTCCAAATGTTTTTGTATGATAGGTATGTTGTAAATATATGAGACCTTCCTGTTGTAGTGTGGTTCCATTTTGTCTGTTACAGCTGTTTGTTCCCTGATGTCACCTGTGTCATCCTTGTTTGTTGTAATGCTTATCTTTAGTTATTTACATAATTGTTCAGCCTAATCCTTGACCTTTGAAATGGTGGCCAGTTTTAAGCAGCTATTGGATATAATTTTTCCCGTTTGAAGCCTGATGAAGACTTTATTGATTTCTTTTAAAAGCACCCTCTCTATCTTCTATTGCCTGTATTTATTTCCATCTCTGTAAATGTTTAAAATAAAAAAAAAAAGTCCCACTTAATTTGTGGTACAGTGCTTTTTGTCATCACTGCCAGCATCATGAGCAGAGCTATTGCAGAGCCATTAGGGCACTAGAAAGGAGGATGGGGAGGGGGTTAGTGGCTTGCTGCATGTCCCCCCTCCACACCTAAAGCCACACAACCACTTGTCGGGTGTCCTAGCGAAGCAGAGTAGTAGATTCAACGGGAATCTCTCAATGCTACAAACCATTTTGTGTCAGAAAGCTGATTTTTCTGGTTTGTGACAGTATCTGTGTTAGGCACTACTTTCATAGATTGGCACTGGCATCTTATTTTAACAGCAAACAGACTTTTCAAAACCAGCATGGTTGACTACTGTCTGCTATGCCAAATGGTCAGAAACGTAAAACAGCTGTAGATAGAAAGCTGTGATTACCCTGAATGCAAGCGAAGCACTGCGCTTAGCTGGGTGTAGTTAAATCATACTGTTAACAAACGCTGAGTAAGAATGCCTTGTCAGGTTACAAGTCAGGCTGATCATCTCTAACCATCTCATTCCTGCTTGCCTTACAAGTTTAAGGACTAGGTCTTATTTTGATTGCACCAGTGGGGAATATGGTCTCTCCATATTTTTAATTGAAAAAGATACAGGATGCAAATCTAATGATAATTGCATTTATCTAAGCATGTATAATGTTAGCAGCTACTTTTTCAACAGATATCCTTGAAGAAAAGTAAAAGAATGCAACGGCCAGAGTAGGTGTGTAGAGAATGAGCCTCACTTGTTCATGTTTGTGGAGAATGAGTTAGCACAGGCTGATTTTCTCATATAACAGAGGTAATGGTCTTATGGTCTGAGTAACAATAGCAAATATCTTGGCTTTTAATTCTGAATATGAAGTTTCAAAGCAGACTGGGAGGACATGATGTTGATCATGACCCACATGATGACTAGAAGCAGATTTCAAAGCTGTACTCATGGTTACAGTGAGCAGAACTCAGAGCTGCTGTTGGTGTTCAGCGCTGGAGCAGGATCCAGAGGGGGGGGTGGTTCTGGGTCTGCTTCCAGTCCTGGTTCATCACTTGGACAGAGCAGTAGGGACTGTGCTTATTAAAAATGCAGATCTATAAGATGGGAAGGAAGGACACAGGAATACAAGATTAGCATGCAAAATGATCTGGACAAATTGAAGAAATTCAGTAGGGGCAAGTGTGTCTAAGCAAGGCTGACTACACAAATACATAATGGGGAGAGAAGCAAGGCAGCAGCCCTTCAGAAAGGGATGGAAGGTTTATAGGAGATTACAAGTGAAACATGAAGCAACAAGACCATGTTGCTGCAGAGCAACTAAATGTCATAAGGGAATGTAAAAGCATTTAGCTTTGAAGATAGCTGAAGTAATTCTTCTGCTCTGCTTAAGGCTGGCAGGGTCTCAGCTGGAGCCCCGTGCATTGGCCCATCCCAGGCCAACGTGCTCAGCTACTACACCTACCTGTGTCCTGTCACGGTGCTGACACGCTGGGATGCTTCAGCCCTTGCATTGCACTGTGCGCTCTATAATGTCTTTATCTTCCTTTATTAAACAGTCTTTCTCTCCAGGAATAAGGAAGGAGCAGATATTTCAAAGTCATTGCAGCCTTTCTGTTTGTTACAGTGTCCTGAAGTGACCAGTCACTCCAGTAAGATCTTTTTTAACTGGTTTGGCCTTAGGGTCTGTATATCAGTTCAATAAACATATTCTCAATTGTGCAGTAAAACACTGGGAAAATGTAAGATGTTGGGTTTCTACATCCAGAAAGGTTATAGTAACAGAACTGGAGGGGAGAGAGGCCTTCAGGGGAGCAAACCAATGAGTGGGGAAGGTAAATGTGTTTCTGAAGGAAAAAAATCAATATGCCATCATTGTTTAAGATACACCATAGTGCAAAGATAAGCTTAATTTATTGTAAATAAGGATTATGTTCACTATTTCAAAGCTGAACTGCTAACATAAATAAGCAATTGAAAGGCATGTTATGACTAATAGGTCTTTATCTTTCAGGTTTACTTCTGCTAATGTATTCCCTTTAGAGCTGACAGCATCTGTTGTTTTATCATGGATATGACAGTTCAGTAAATGCTTTTATTCACCTTTCAGTCATGCAATGACTGATATAGTAAGACTATCTGTGGTTGAACAGTCCAATTACGATGAAGACAAAAAAAGCACTCTAACCTTGGCCTTTAAATGAAGGGTCATTAAATCAACTGGCTCTGATATGATTCTTTGTAGTGAAACTGTCTGCAAAGGATGGAAAAAGGGCCTAAAAGCAACTTCACTTTGAATTACTGTGTGACACAGCATCAAGAAGTTGCTTTGTTTTAATTTGTGATACCAACAGATTTAAGTCACTTAATCTTTGCATCATTGCTGACTTGCTTAGTTAGCAAGGTCATTAACTGAAGGAAGTGAGAGGGTTTGCTTCTCCTGTAGTTACTGGTTTTATGGTGAAGGAAAGGTCTTCACTGTGTTTGGAGCTGGGGTGTTTAGACTGTACAGCAGACTGCATGTGTGCAGCACTGATACGATGATGCTATCATGTGTGCCAGCTGCGTGTCCATGGTACTTGATACGTCAGTGAAGGCAGATGTGGAATTGGAGTGGAAATCCTTCAGGTACCTGAGCTACAGTCTCTCTGAAAAATGTACTTCAGAAAATGTGCTGCAAATCCATGTGTAGAGCTGTGGGGCTCAGGTTTACCATGGCATTCAAGGATCAGTGTGTGACAAATCTTGAGAACTATTTTTCTTCAGTCTCTGCCCTTCACACAGGCCCTCCACATTAACAGGACTTCACAAGGCTGATTTTGAGCTTGTCCGGTATGTAAAAAGGAGGATAACAATTTTATGGACTAGTTTCAATTGCTCCGGCAAATTCCAGCATGGTCTTTTATATCCTTCAACCTTCTTCTTTCTCGAATGTCCACAGATCTTCCTATGTAACTTTTTCAGAGGCACAAAAGTGTTCTGCAGAGTCATCCAGGTGAGCAGATCTTTGGCTCTGTGTAACCTCTTCCATTCATAGGGCTCTAAGGAACGCCGTGCGATTTCTCAGGCAGCTGCTCCTCAAAGACCAGACAGAAACGCCCGAACCCCCTGGTCCCTTTCATCCCACAAAAGAACAGTGGACGACCTGCAAGTCATAATTGTGGAGATGGAAGAATATGTTTTAGGGGCAAAAGAAGAAGGGATTGGAAGAGAAAGCATAGAGCTGCTTACCTCACTTTACAAATCCATGCTAAGAAAAGTTACTCTATCTTTTGAGCAGGAATGAACCAGCCTACTGGTAATAGCACAGTGGGGATGGAGACGGTCCAAACTGCAGCAGAACTCAGCAGGTAATGATCTTAAAAGGCTAATCTTGGAATCAAGTACATTAGGGAAAAAAAATAATATCAAGACTTCAAATTACATTTCTTTTTCTTAGATGTTCTTATTACAGGTAACAGAATGCAAATGCCATTATCTAAAATAACATAGAGGGCAATGTAACTACCATAAATCATTGTGCTGCTGAGAGAAATGGGATGGCTGACGTCCTCTCCATTTCCATTTTATAGACGGAGTTGGAGTCAAACAAGGACTTGCCAAAAGTCGCTCAAGACCTCCAAGAATTTCCATCATGTTTCAAAACTTTTTTTTTTTTAATAAAGGAGGTCTTACACTTTTTACTTGACCAAGATTTAACAAACCGATTTTTGCTTCCGTGAGGTAGGGAGGGTGGTGGTTTTTAGTGGGTTTTTTCAGCAATTGTCTGAGTGAAACAGCTTTATTTTGCATGCTTGTACCGTTGTTAATATTTATTTTTAAAATTGTTAGCAGTTAGTTTTGTTTTCCCTTCTTACACCTTGCAGCAGAAAAGCATCATTAATATTTAAGCAGATGAACATCTCTTGAAGTTTGTGACTTGCAGCCAGAATGTCATTAATTTAAATAATCACACAGATAAAATTAATGCAATAAGAGTTGTATCTGAGTCCTGTTGCTGAGCAATTCTGGCGAGCGCATAATAATACTGCTGCCTCAGGCATTGAGATCAGGGGTCATGATGTGATATTTCTGTGTATTCATTAACTTTCACAAGGGCAGATTGATCTTCTGTTTCCATGAACACTAATGAACCATTTTCTTATTTTCAGGGAATATTCTATCACTACCACTAGCCACGTAGTGTTTAAAGAAAAGCTGTTTTCAAACAGAAGGCTCTAATTAGAACTTGGGCCTCAGCTCTATTGATTGCACTACACTTTCTCAGTGGATTTACAAATGCCAGCAAATAAACTTGCCAGGAAAAAAGTTTATTGTAGCGATTTTCTCTTTAGTATTTAGCCTATGCATTATTCTGTTTCTTGACAGGCTGAAAAAAGGGGATCAGGTGCCGAGGCATTCAGGATGGTTGGTTCGTATGGGGGTATTTTCCCAGATGTCTTTTAAATACGCTGAAAATCTCAGAACTAGAAGGTGTGAGGTGTTCACCCGACTCTGTAACTTTTTTTAGATGGTTTAGTCTCTCGGGTGAAATGAATTCCCAGTCTTCCCGCCGTAGGGATGCGAACATACGGGCAGGTGTCGTGGGGCCGCGATGCCGGGCGATGCCGGGCGCTGCCGGCGGGGGCCAGCCTTGCCACGGCAACGGCGGCTCTGAGCGCGGCCTGCCTGCCTCAGCGCCCGCTAAACCGGGCTTAGAGCTGATAACGGCGACATTTCTCCTTCTTCTCCTTCCTTTCTCTGCCTTGTGCCGCCTTCCGCCAGCTCCCCGGTGTCGAGCCCACACGCTCCATCTCTCGCCCTGCTGCACAGTGCAGCGTCCCGGGTATTCCAAAAGGGATCTCTGTGGCTAAACCTTCTAGAAACACAATAGATGTGTCTATGTTCTGGGGTTCCCTTTGTACAAGCAATAAATGCGCAGGAAATAACGCTTTCCAGTGCACTCACGGGGCCGTTTTTGCACCATCTGAGCGGGTTTGGGGGTGCAGGGGGAGGCAGCCTGAGCCCGCCGTT